AAGTAATTTTTACAGAGTATACTTTGAGGGAGGGAAAAAAAGTCCTTTAAATTTCAGCATTTTTATGGATGAATGCAATAGGCAATAGAAACAAAAATAGCTTTTGTAAAAGTGCAATAAATGAAAGCTGTTCATAATTGGTGTTCTATAAGGAATTACAAATGAAGAATTTGAGAAGTCTCTGGAGTTACACTTTCCACACAGATACAAGGTAGTGACTTATCTGAAACAGAATTATTTGGCACACCTGGCACGGACAAGCATGAACCACAGAAGAGATTCAGCAAAATGTGTAAAATCAGACATGAATTAGTAAGAACATCTAATCAAGCACAAGAGAGCAGTATTACCCAGAATATGTTACTAAAGTACTCACTGTCACCTGAGTGGGCACAGACGGGAGGCATCGACCTGTTAGAGATTTATCAGGATATCATTCCACTGTGAGATGATGACATTGTGCTTAAGTAAACCAATTAGTAAGTCATTCACAGTTGATCTTATGTATTAAATTAGTCATTTGTAACTAGTTCTTTATGTTATCTTTAAAAAACATCAAGTAAAAAGCACTGTTCAGATATTGTTAGAAAGAGGTTTTATATAGCAATTGCAGGCACAACTTAGTTGCTCGAAATGATGGAAGCTCACAAATGGCAAAAAAGATGATTTAATAATTTTTTCTTCAAAATGTATAAACAGAAATAAATCACAATCAGATAGGCAAAGAAAAGTTACATTAAAAACCTAAAAGATGGCCCTGGCAAAAATAAAATAAGCACACTTTGGAAATTTAAAAATATGCATTTTAAAACCTAAACTTCCAGAACTCAGCTGGTTATGTCAATATTAACAACTTAAATAAGATTAAATTAAAAAGTAATATTTTGGGTTTGGCTGCAACAGAGTATGGGTGTTACCTAGACTGTTCTTCCTCCCTTCACAAAGGTAAACAACTATGAAACAGAACAAAATAGGTGAAGCATTTTTTGGAGGAGGACTGCAATGCTAGCAAAAAAGCAAACACGTGTGGTGAGATCAATGTTTTTCAACTTTCTGCCGTAGGGAATTTTCAGGGATCTGCATGTCATGAGGAGATGGAGCCCAAGGAAAGCACGGCAGTGTTGCTGAGCTGGGGTGGCAGAGATTAAAGTTGAGGGCTGCGAATGCAAACTGGAATTTGCAACGCAGATTAACAAAGAGAAGGGCACTATTCAGACAAGAGTCCTCAGAATACTGGATGGAGAAATCTCAGTGGATCCTTGGCCCAGAGCTAGGTTGTACATATATAGAGCCAGTCTCTTCGAGAGCTCGCAGGAAATACCACAGTGCTTACCAACTCTATTTCTGAGTACAAAGGAAATACATTAGAATTCAATAACTAAAAACATAAAATATGCAAATATTTAGAAATTAAACAACACACTTCCAAATAGCACATAGGTTGAAAAAGAAACCACAAAGGACATTAAAATATTTGAAACAATCATAGTAAAAATAGAGCAAATAAAAAAATATTCACAGCTAAGGCAGTGCTAGAGGAAATTTTACAACTTTATAAAAATAAAAGACTAAGAGTGGTTCATGTTTCCACCTTCAAAGGTTGGAAAAAGAAGTGCAAAGTAAACCCAAAGTAAATAGAAGGAAGAAAATAATCAATCTGAAAAACTACATCAATAAAATAGTATACAAACATTTTAGAAAGTAAGAAAGTCAAAAGCAGAATTTTTAAAAGAACATCAAATATTTTCAGAGCTTGTCTTATGCACTACGCTTTCTGCCATGTGTTGATTACACAGATTAAGATATTGCAGTCCATCTGCTCCTGTCCCCAGGTTCACCATATTTGAACTTTCAGTCATGTATTTCACAAAATGATTTCAACGTAATGCATCTGAGAGTTCATCTCTCCAGCAGTGCCTGGAACACAGTAGAAGCTCAATAAATGTGTGTTGAATGGATGAATGAGCTTTTTGCTTTAACACATGGGGAAGGCCACAGAGAGGAAGGGACTTTCCCTAAGGTCACTGATGTCTTTCTTGGTACAGTCTGGATTCTGTCTTCCATACCAGACAACATTCTCTGCCTTAGCCAACTCAGACTTTAGTCTCAACTCTCTTATGCCGTTAGAGAGCCTTAATAACTAGTTCTGTGTTTAAATTGCCTGGCAGCCCATCTTGGAAAGGCATTTCATTAGCATTCCTGTTTGTGTAATGCCAGCTTGCCAGCTAAGGAGCCCACTGAGAGATCAGGGGAGAGTGAGTGAGCACACAGACTCACATTGAAACTTGCAGTTCCACTTAGCACAGGGGAGCTGAACTGTATTGACTGTTCATTGCTGGTATGAACCAGCAAAAGCCACCTTTCTCAAGCTCTCCCCCACTAGCATTGCTCCTGTTGCCTGATTGCACCTGGTCAATCAAATTTTCTTGGGGCAGAGCCCAAGTATAATTGAGACAACAGGACCATTTCCTACTAGTGGAGAACTAAGCCTTTGCAATGGGAAATAGAGGGAAAAAGCAACCAATATTGTCATAAGCCAACACAGATTACGAGTAAGACACCCTCAATTTTTAGCAACTCAGATTAGAAGGGAGGCAGAAACAGCTATAGCTACTGGGGAAATGGGAGGATGCCTAGGAAGGAAGTGGTTATAGGGGCTGGCACTTGAAAAGGCATAGCATGTGCCATCTCCAAAAAAAATAAAAATAATAGAAATTACTTATATAGCATGTACTATATGTCAG